TGTGTTGTGTGGTGTGTCATGTGTGTTGTGTGGTGTGTCATGTGTGTTGTGTGGTGTGACATGTGTGTTGTGTGGTGTGACATGTGTGTTGTGTGGTGTGTCATGTGTGTTGTGTGGTGTGTCATGTGTGTTGTGTGGTGTGTCATGTGTGTTGTGTGGTGTGTCATGTGTGTTGTGTGGTGTGTCATGTGTGTTGTGTCATGTGTGTGGTGTGTGACATGTGTGTTGTGTGGTGTGTCATGTGTGTTTTGTGGTGTGTCATGTGTGTTGTGTGGTGTGTCATGTGTGTTGTGTGGTGTGTCATGTGTGTTGTGTGGTGTGTCATGTGTGTTGTGTGGTGTGTCATGTGTGTTGTGTGGTGTGTCATGTGTGTTGTGTGGTGTGTCATGTGTGTTGTGTGGTGTGTCATGTGTGTTGTGTGGTGTGTCATGTGTGTTGTGTGGTGTGTCATGTGTGTTGTGTGGTGTGTCATGTGTGTTGTGTGGTGTGTCATGTGTGTTGTGTGGTGTGTCATGTGTGTTGTGTGGTGTGTCATGTGTGTTGTGTGGTGTGTCATGTGTGTTGTGTGGTGTGTCATGTGTGTTGTGTGGTGTGTCATGTGTGTTGTGTGGTGTGTCATGTGTGTTGTGTAGTGTGCCATGTGTGTTGTGTGGTGTGACATGTGTGTGTGTAGTGTCATGTGTGTTCTGTAGTGTGCCATGTGTGTTGTGTAGTGTGCCATTTGTGTTGTGTAGTGTGCCATGTGTGTTGTGTGGTGTGACATGTGTGTTGTGTAGTGTGACATGTGTGTTGTGTAGTGTGCCATGTGTGTTGTGTAGTGTGCCATGTGTGTTGTGTGGTGTGACATGTGTGTTGTGTGGTGTGCCATGTGTGTTGTGTAGTGTGACATGTGTGTTGTGTAGTGTGCTATGTGTGTTGTGTAGTGTGACATGTGTGTTGTGTAGTGTGCCATGTGTGTTGTGTAGTGTGACATGTGTGTTGTGTGGTGTGACATGTGTGTTGTGTAGTGTGCCATGTGTGTTGTGTAGTGTGTCATGTGTGTTGTGTGGTGTGACATGTGTGTTGTGTGGTGTGACATGTGTGTTGTGTAGTGTGCCATGTGTGTTGTGTAGTGTGCCATGTGTGTTGTGTGGTGTGACATGTGTGTTGTGTGGTGTGACATGTGTGTTGTGTAGTGTGACATGTGTGTTGTGTGGTGTGACATGTATGTTGTGTGGTGTGCCATGTGTGTTGTGTAGTGTGCCATGTGTGTTGTGTGGTGTGCCATGTGTGTTGTGTGGTGTGACATGTGTGTTGTGTAGTGTGACATGTGTGTTGTGTGTGTGACATGTGTGTTGTGTGGTGTGCCATGTGTGTTGTGTAGTGTGCCATGTGTGTTGTGTGGTGTGTCATGTGTGTTGTGTGGTGTGCCATGTGAGTTGTGTAGTGTGCCATGTGTGTTGTGTAGTGTGACATGTGTGTTGTGTGGTGTGCCATGTGAGTTGTGTAGTGTGCCATGTGTGTTGTGTAGTGTGACATGTGTGTTGTGTAGTGTGCCATGTGTGTTGTGTGGTGTGTGTGACATGTGTGTTGTGTGGTGTGTGTGCCATGTGTGTTGTGTAGTGTGACATGTGTGTTGTGTGGTGTGGGCTGTCATTGACCAACAAAAAACAGTATTCCACTCAAGAAAGCACTAACGTCTTGAAGAGTATCATCATTGGTAAAGCATCTCTAGTTTGAAAGGTTCTTGTTATCCAACCTGTCAAGGTATTCAACCTTGACAGGATAGTTGGATCCAACCATTCAATGTATCAAATAATATACATGGAAGATACTTGAAGTTCAAGTCCCAAATTTGCACAGTAGAATAACAACATACTAATAACAACGAAAGATACGGAAGGAAATGCAGAATAGAACCTGTGAAGAGTGGAGGTGTCATAGACGCAATCAGAGAACAGTCTGGCCATCAGAGGTCCACAGCTGTTCAGCACCCTCCCAGCAAGTATTAGAAATATTGCTGGAAGAAAGATGGATGTATTCAAGAGGCACTTAGATAAGTTCTTGTAAGAAATGCCGGACCAACCAGGCTGTAGTGGATACGTGGGCCTGCGGGCCGCTCCAAGGAACAGCCTGTTGTACCAAGTTATCACAAGTCGAGCCTTGCCTCAGGCCGGGCTCAAGAAGGTAGAAGAACCCACACAACCCTCGCCACGTATATTCTTTTTCTTGCAGTTGTGACGGCTACTTTATTGTATTCTTTAAAGGTAAGGTCTTCCGACATGAGTACACCCAAAACCTTCACATTGCCTTTTCGTTCAATATTATGATTTGACTGCGTTTTGTACGTGGTTTCCGTTTTTATATTTTATTTTTTTCCGTAGCGCATGAGCTGGAACTTATCTTCGTTAAACACCATATTATTTTCTGTAGCCCATAGAAAGGCCTGATTTATATCAGATTGGAGGTTTGCTGTGTTAACGTATATCATTTACAGTGTTGGTTGTGAATAATGAAGGGTCCTGTTGATTATAAACTAGCTTAAATAGCAGGACATGATGCGAAGCGTGGTGGCCTGACCTGGCCTCTGGAGGACAGGAAGGAGGCGTGGTGGCCCTGACCTGGCCTCTGGAGGACAGGAAGGAGGCGTGGTGGCCCTGACCTGGCCTCTGGTGGACGGGAAGGAGGCGTGGTGGCCAGACCTGGCCTCCGGAGGACAGGAAGGAGGCGTGGTGGCCCTGACCTGGCCTCTGGAGGACAGGAAGGAGGCCCTGACCTGGCCTCTGGAGGACGGGAAGGAGGCGTGGTGGCCCTGACCTGGCCTCTGGAGGACAGGAAGGAGGCGTGGTGGCCCTGACCTGGCCTCTGGAGGACAGGAAGGAGGCGTGGTGGCCTGACCTGGCCTCTGGAGGACGGGAAGGAGGCGTGTTGGCCTGACCTGGCCTCCGGAGGACAGGAAGGAGGCGTGGTGGCCTGACCTGGCCTCTGGAGGACAGGAAGGAGGCGTGGTGGCCTGACCTGGCCTCTGGAGGACAGGAAGGAGGCGTGGTGGCCCTGACCTGGCCTCCGGTGGACGGGAAGGAGGCGTGGTGGCCCTGACCTGGCCTCTGGAGGACAGGAAGGAGGCGTGGTGGCCCTGACCTGGCCTCCGGTGGACGGGAAGGAGGCGTGGTGGTCTGACCTGGCCTCTGGAGGACGGGAAGGAGGCGTGGTGGCCCTGACCTGGCCTCCGGTGGACGGGAAGGAGGCGTGGTGGCCCTGACGTGGCCTCTGGAGGACGGGAAGGAGGCGTGGTGGCCTGACCTGGCCTCTGGAGGACGGGAAGGAGGCGTGGTGGCCCTGACCTGGCCTCCGGTGGACGAGAAGGAGGCGTGGTGGCCTGACCTGGCCTCTGGAGGACGGGAAGGAGGCGTGGTGGCCTGACCTGGCCTCTGGAGGACAGGAAGGAGGCGTGGTGGCCTGACCTGGCCTCTGGAGGACAGGAAGGAGGCGTGGTGGCCCTGACCTGGCCTCCGGTGGATGGGAAGGAGGCGTGGTGGCCCTGACCTGGCCTCTGGAGGACAGGAAGGAGGCGTGGTGGCCCTGACCTGGCCTCCGGTGGACGGGAAGGAGGCGTGGTGGTCTGACCTGGCCTCTGGAGGACGGGAAGGAGGCGTGGTGGCCTGACCTGGCCTCCGGTGGACGGGAAGGAGGCGTGGTGGCCCTGACCTGGCCTCTGGAGGACAGGAAGGAGGCGTGGTGGCCTGACCTGGCCTCTGGAGGACAGGAAGGAGGCGTGGTGGCCTGACCTGGCCTCTGGAGGACGGGAAGGAGGCGTGTTGGCCTGACCTGGCCTCCGGAGGACAGGAAGGAGGCGTGGTGGCCTGACCTGGCCTCTGGAGGACAGGAAGGAGACGTGGTGGCCTGACTGGCCTCTGGAGGACAGGAAGGAGGCGTGGTGGCCCTGATCTGGCCTCCGGTGGACGGGAAGGAGGCGTGGTGGCCTGACCTGGCCTCTGGAGGACAGGAAGGAGGCGTGGTGGCCCTGACCTGGCCTCTGGTGGACGGGAAGGAGGCGTGGTGGCCCTGACCTGGCCTCTGGTGGACGGGAAGGAGGCGTGGTGGCCTGACCTGGCCTCCGGTGGACGGGAACGAGGCGTGGTGGCCCTGACCTGGCCTCTGGTGGACGGGAAGGAGGCGTGGTGGCCTGACCTGGCCTCTGGTGGACGGGAAGGAGGCGTGGTGGCCTGACCTGGCCTCCGGTGGACGGGAACGAGGCGTGGTGGCCTGACCTGGCCTCTGGAGGACGGGAAGGAGGCGTGGTGGCCCTGACCTGGCCTCTGGAGGACGGGAAGGAGGCATGGTGGCCCTGACCTGGCCTCCGGTGGACGGGAAGGAGGCGTGGTGGCTTGACCTGGCCTCTGGAGGACGGGAAGGAGGCGTGGTGGCCCTGACCTGGCCTCCGGTGGACGGGAAGGAGGCGTGGTGGCCTGACCTGGCCTCCGGAGGACAGGAAGGAGGCGTGGTGGCCCTGACCTGGCCTCCGGTGGACGGGAAGGAGGCGTGGTGGCCTGACCTGGCCTCTGGTGGACGGGAAGGAGGCGTGGTGGCCTGACCTGGCCTCCGGTGGACAGGAAGGAGGCGTGGTGGCCTGACCTGGCCTCTGGTGGACAGGAAGGAGGCGTGGTGGCCCTGACCTGGCCTCTGGAGGACAGGAAGGAGGCGTGGTGGCCTGACCTGGCCTCTGGAGGACAGGAAGGAGGCGTGGTGGCCTGACCTGGCCTCTGGAGGACAGGAAGGAGGCGTGGTGGCCCTGACAGGAAGGAGGCGTGGTGGCCCTGACCTGGCCTCCGGTGGACAGGAAGGAGGCGTGGTGGCCTGACCTGGCCTCTGGTGGACAGGAAGGAGGCGTGGTGGCCTGACCTGGCCTCCGGTGGACGGGCTGAAGGGACGGTAGAGTCAGCGACTCTTGAAGACCTGTATTGATTTTGGCTAATGCAAGTCTGTATTTTCCCTCTAACTCGAGACGCACAGTACCCCGCATGTCCTTCAGTACCTCCCTCTCCTCTAGCACCTCCCCATCTTCCTCTAGCACCTCCCCGTCCTCCTCTAGCACCTCCCCGTCCTCCTCTAGCACCTCCCCGTCCTCCTCTAGCACCTCCCCATCTTCCTCTAGCACCTCCCCGTCCTCCTCTAGCACCTCCCCGTCCTCCTCTAGCACCTCCCCGTCCTCTTCTCTAGCACCTCCCCGTCCTCCTCTAGCACCTCCTCCCGTCCCCTCCTCTTAGCACCTCCCCGACCTCCTCTAGCCCCTCCTGACCTCCTCTAGCACCTCCCGTCCTCCTCTAGCACCTCCCCGTCCTCCTCTAGCACCTCCCCGTCCTCCTCTAGCACCTCCCCGTCCTCCTCTAGCACCTCCCCGTCCTCCTCTAGCACCTCCCGTCCTCCTCTAGCACCTCCCCGTCCTCCTCTAGCACCTCCCCGTCCTCCTCTAGTACCTCCCGTCCTCCTCTAGCACCTCCCCGTCCTCCTCTAGCACCTCCCCGTCCTCCTCTAGCACCTCCCGTCCTCCTCTAGCACCTCCCCGTCCTCCTCTAGCACCTCCCCGTCCTCCTCTAGCACCTCCCCGTCCTCCTCTAGCACCTCCCCGTCCTCCTCTAGCACCTCCCCGTCCTCCTCTAGCACCTCCCCGTCCTCCTCTAGCACCTCCCCGTCCTCCTCTAGCACCTCCCGTCCTCCTCTAGCACCTCCCCGTCCTCCTCTAGCACCTCCCCGTCCTCCTCTAGCACCTCCCCGTCCTCCTCTAGCACCTCCCCGTCCTCCTCTAGCACCTCCCCGTCCTCCTCTAGCACCTCCCCGTCCTCCTCTAGCACCTCCCCGTCCTCCTCTAGCACCTCCCCGTCCTCCTCTAGCACCTCCCGTCCTCCTCTAGCACCTCCCTGTCCTCCTCTAGCACCTCCCCGTCTTCTTCTAGCACCTCCCCGTCCTCCTCTAGCACCTCCCCGTCCTCCTCTAGCACCTCCCTGTCCTCCTCTAGCACCTCCCCGACCTCCTCTAGCCCCTCCTGACCTCCTCTAGCACCTCCCGTCCTCCTCTAGAGTAGTGTAAACCGGGCCAATGACCGGCCGTTTTGCTTTTTTTCCTGGGCCGGTCATTGGCCCCTGGGTTTTAGCCGGGCCAATGACCGGCCGTTTTTGTTTTTTTCCTGGGCCGGTCATTGGCCCTGGGTGTTAGCCGGGCCAGAAGCCGGCCGTTTTGCTTTTTTCCCGGGCCGGCTTCTGGCCCCTGGGTTTTCTCGAAAAAAATTTCATGGCCGGTCATTGGCCCCTGCCATTTTCGCTCAAGGGGATTAAACGGCCGCCTCCAGTCATCCCCAAATTTCGTTAGCTCAGTGACCCTGCAGAGGCATGTTAAAGGGGATTAAAAAGCCGGTCATTGGCCCCAGGGTTTTCTCGAATTTTCTTTCATGGCCGGTCCCATGCACAGGCATAGCCAATGGTCAATGACGTCATCTGGTAGCCAGTCTTCAATTTGCCTGGGGTAGGATTAAAAAGCCGGTCCCTGGCACACCCAAATTCTGTTACCCCGGTGACCCTGCACAGACATTGCTAATGGTTAATGACGTCACCCCCGTCTTCATCTTCCCTGTATAAGTCCGTTTTCTGTTATAGTGTAATTATTCCCATTTTCAATATTTATAGCAAAGGGGGATTCAAATGCTGCCATCTGTCAAGCCTAATGTGCAATGGCGTTAGCCATTATAAGCTCGTTTTTCACAATAAGGTATTACCATACGGTTTCCCATTGTCTAAGATCATTTTATAGCTAAGATTACATAATAATAACATAAGAAATTAGTTCAAACCCTGTTACAAAACCAGTATTTACCCAGGTCTTTTTCCTAAATCTAAAACTTATTCCAATTTATGTCCATTGTTTCATATTCTGTCTAGTGTGGATAATTTTAATAGTCTATTAATATTCTCCCTTTATCATGTCCATTCATTCACAGCTCTATCATGTCACCTCTAATGGTCAATGACGTCACCAGCTAGCCGCTCAGCGTTCCTGCACCGGCATGTTCAAGGGGATTAAAAAGCCGGTCTATGAGTCGTGTGTTTTGGGATACAACAGTGACCTTGAAACCTAATGTAAAATACCATCATCCCTAGTCTATTTTTAATTTCATATTTACTTCCAACCATCTCCCATTATATTTATCAAAGAGGATCATGTATGTGAGGGAAGAACATAACTTCAGCACTGCAAGAAGTTATGTATGTATTTTCAAGTTCGTCCCCTGCTGCCTGTATTTACCCATGTCTTTTTCCTAAATATAAAACTTATCCAATTCATGCCTATTCTGTTTCATGTTGATACGTTTAATAGGTTATTAATATTCCCCTTTACTATAACCATTCAGTCGCACCTCTATCATGTCACCCCTATTTCTTCTTCGTCGTCGTTCTAGAGAATGTAATTTGAGCTTTGACAATCTTTCTTAAAGGATCGTTTATTATGCATAGGGCAAAAATAATATTAAAAAACTACTATCAGTCTTTGATATGAAAAACAGAGCCCTGGGCATTGGCGATTTCAATGCGTTTTCAGTAGTAATCAATATTGTCCTTAACCTCACACACGTCTCACATTCGCTCAAAACATACCTCCCACACCTTGCCGTGGCATATAACAAATAAAAAAAATCTCATTCAGTAAAAGCAAGCCTCTCATATTTTAAAATAAGGCCTTCTGCGGCGCGAGGCGCGCTAAATGCGGATCCCAGGAGGTTCACACATAAGTGTGAACTCTTAATCTAGCTTAATACCTCACCTATACTCTGTGCTTCATCAAAGTTGATATTCAGCTACAATAGCTCGCATTTTCGCTCGTTGCTTATATTTTCTGTTATTCATAAACCCGATCAAACCTTCCTAACCTAACATATTATTTATAACAAACAAATACATTCTACAGAACAGTTATTGTTGTTGTTTAGTGACATCGTGAAAAGCGACCTCAGGTATAGGGATAAGGTATTGCTGGCCATTAGCATATAGGTGTGAAGGTATTACAGTACCTGATTGGTCAACTATGTATGACGTCACCAGACAACCAATGCGACCTTTGGCGTCCTACTGGCATGAGTATTTGATGTTATTAATAAAAAATGACTAGACTAACCATCCCCACCTAACCTAATCAGAGGACTAAGAATATTACATTTTAGTCATCCACAACTGTAATCATTATTCAGTGATAAGTTCAAAAGTATAACAGAAGCCCAAATGTCGTACTGCAATTTAAGCAGATTCGTACATCTGGCAGCATAGCAGGTGAGCTGAACATAAGAATAAAGGTAACTGCAGAGGTCCTATTGGCCCATACGAGGCAGCTCCTATATATTTCCACCCAATCTCATTCATGTCCATCCTATGCTGAAAACAACCAAGGGATCCCACTTAAAGTATTAGTTTCCAATAATAGTTTTAATAAATAGCTCTTATTCTAGTTTTATACACAACAGCAATTATGAAAACCCTATATCGAGATATTCTACTATAATCCACAAGTAGTTACCACACATCTGGCAGTACAGCGGATTAGTGGCTGTGTTCATAGGCTAGTCAACTGTCCTCACATCCATCAAATAGATATCCAAATGTCGCACCTCAATTCATCCATCTAGCAACTCAGCTGGATGTTAGCCACTATATTCATAGGCTAATCATTTCTACACCTCAAAAAATCCTAGTCTTCCTGCGCAAATCAGCTAACTTGTTTCTAAACCAACACTCGCAAAATACAATCATGCATACCTACACATACTTCAAAACCTATGCATTCATAGAGAATAGCCTAGTTTTTGCCACCATTTCCCCATTAATCAGATGTACTATAATCCACAAGTAGTTACCACACATCTGGCAGTACAGCGGATTAGTGGCTGTGTTCATAGGCTAGTCAACTGTCCTCACATCCATCAAATAGATATCCAAATGTCGCACCTCAATTCATCCATCTAGCAACTCAGCTGGATGTTAGCCACTATATTCATAGGCTAATCATTTCTACACCTCAAAAAATCCTAGTCTTCCTGCGCAAATCAGCTAACTTGTTTCTAAACCAACACTCGCAAAATACAATCATGCATACCTACACATACTTCAAAACCTATGCATTCATAGAGAATAGCCTAGTTTTTGCCACCATTTCCCCATTAATCAGATGTAATTTATGCCATACACACAGAAAATATAGCATTTACACACCAAATATGCCATTTATGCACAAAATATATTATTTACACTCAAAATATACCATCACATAAAAAAAAAATATGAGATTTTCATACAAAATATGTCAGTTGCAAACAAAAATATACCATTTACACAATATTGCATGTACACTCAGAGTATGACATTTACACAAAGTACGGTATTTTGCACAAATATATCAAAATGCTTATGCATTTAGACAATAAAAAATGCACTTTAACTAAAATTACACAATTTCACAAACGTAATTTTCACAAAATACCCACACATTGTCTCATAAACCAAAATACACTTACACCATAAAGATCTATTTTATCAAATTACAGAGCTTACACAAAATACACAATTTTCACACACAAATACAGTTTCACCAGTTACACTTCAACATATTAAAAACACAACTTGCATAAATGCACTATTATCACAAAAATTATTACACAGTTTGTGTAATTATTTTACATCTTTGCACAATTAATACAAGAAAACTTGCTATATAATTACTCAGCTTGCACAATGACAATCAATACCCAAAGGTATAAATAAACAATCCATCCATATGCAATTACACAACATGCGCAATTAATACACAACTTATACAATATTACACATCTTTCATAATTATTACACACAACTTGCACAAATGCATATCTAGCACAAATTCGTGCAATACATAACTACCCCATATATGAAAATACACAACTAGCATAAATACACGATTTACACAAATACAATTGCGACATTTACACAACTAGCTCAAAAATATAATCAATACACAACTTACCAAAATATGAACAATACATAACTAGCACATATTCATTAAATCCACAACTATGCAATTTCCGCAAATACACATACAAAAACATATACAATTAATA